TGCTTTAATAATGTTGGTATTGATTACTGACGCTGGCTGCTCCGGATCATTATCAGCTAATTGTACTCAGTTTCTAACAGAATGCTGAAAATAGTTGCCGTTTTGTATGCATGTAGTGTTCCACTTCCTCTCGCTGCAGGCACCATCATCATGTCAGAAGACTTGCGCGACGCTCTCGACTGTATGTTTGACGCTCGGATCCCCCGCCTGTGGCTACGGCTCAGCTGGCCGTCAGCGACGCTGGGCTTCTGGTTCAGTGAGCTACTGGAGAGGAACCAGCAGCTCAGCAGCTGGATCGGCACTGGCCGACCAAACCAGTTCTGGCTCACTGGCTTCTTCAACCCACAGGTAGTTCAGACGGCGCCAACGCAGTGAAGACCAGGAGTTTAGAAACATTTGGCCTTGTCCAATTGGCTTTACACGTAAAGGTTTATTTGCGTCTTCGTGTTTCTCGAAGGGTTTTCTGACCGCCATGCGCCAGGAGACGACACGCTCCAACCTGTCCCGGGGTTGGGCTTTGGATACCGTCACCCTTAGCAACGATGTCACCAAGATGATGAGGGAGGACGTGTCGGCTCCGCCCCCAGAGGATGTGGGTGGAGTCTATATATACGGCCTCTTTCTGGACGGGGCGGGATGGGACCGCCGCAGCGCCAAACTCACTGAGGCCCCGCCAAAGGTTAGACTGTGTGTTTGTGATTTATTTAAAAAGAAAAAAAATATGGAAATTCAAATTCTAATAGTAAATAATGAAATGAAAGAATATTAAGGTAAAGTAATTTTAAAACAACAGAAAAGAAAAATAGTAAAAGAAAAATCTAAAATAAATACTAAAGTGATAAAAACTATAATGTTAAAAAAAAGTTATAAAAAAATGAAAATATATAATTCATTGAAGCCTCTCTGCTGCCTCTCAGGTCCTCTTCAGCCCCCTCCCTGTGGTCCACGTCTACGCCATCAGCTCAGCCAACATGGCAGACAATAAGCGGCAGCCCGGTGGCGGGGGGGTAGTCAGCCTTTACTCTTGTCCAGTCTACAAGAAACCGCGTCGGACCGACCTGAACTTCATCTTCTCTTTGCAGCTGAGGAGCGTTCAGCCGGTGGAGCACTGGACACTGCGCGGTGCAGCGCTGCTCTGCGACTGCAAGTGATCCTCAAACTTTACTGAAGGAGCACTGGCTCAATGACTCCAGGATGTTGTTTGTTAAAACTGAAAATAATAATTAAATTAAAATAATTTCAACTCATTGAAGGTCTGACTGAACTTTTATCTTCTTTCTCTTTTATTCCTTTTTTACTTTTTATTTTTAATTCATTTTAATGAATGAATATAAAAAAAATCCCTAAAAACTGGTGTCTGTTCTCAAACTCAGCAAATCGGTTTGGAAGAACAGCATACAGAAGATACAGCAGAGAAAAAGTCAATAAAATGTAAAACTAATATTCAGAGGAATCCAACATTGTTTCTTTAATTTAAATCAAGCTTGCGCAATCATAAGCTGTGTATTTTTACCAGCTGCTGTAACAGATTATCTAATGACATTAAAGGAAATTAAAAAACTTCAATTCACTGACTAATTATTGAAGAACAGACCTCACATTGGTTACAGAAATAATTCAAGTGAACTTTTATAACATGAGTCAAACACAAACCTGCTTTAATATCTCTAACAAACTACAGCCATGCAGTCACTCACTAACGAATGCTAAAAAACACCAACAATACTGTAAATATATTACAGAATAAACATCAGCAACAGCGCCGTTACATCACTGCTGTCAGGTGAAAATCCCTTAGCTTTATTTTCATCATGATGACATGAGCTGTTGCTCAGAGCCAAAGATAAATTTTTACGGTTTTTATGCTCCAATTTGCAGTTTTGCTAAAAAAGTTACCCAACTGCTCTAAAATGAAACACAGGGAAAACTGAAAATGTGGGGGAAAAATACCAAATGAAATTGTCTGCCTGCTCCAAAATAAAACTACCAGAATTTTATTACTTAATTTCCTTTCAAATTAATCAGGAATTCTGACCTTTAATGACTAAATGCTAATTAAAACTGTAGCTACAAAACAGTTCTCTCACTCAAACACAAGTAACACTAACACACTATACAATACACAGTTTAAATAGTAATTAATACATTATTTAGATCTTTATTATTCAATCAACAATTTTAATGTATATGTATTTTCATAAAAGGGTGGTGAAGTGGCATCGTCCCTCACAGTTCATCTTCGGCGCCACAAGGGGTCTTATCCCCCTCAGTTGTATTTTTTGAACACTCCTCTGCCGAAGTTGGCAAATTAAACTTATCAAATCCAATTGAAAGTATGGCACACATCTTTTTTAACAAAAGCTGTATCTGTAGTTTAATAGAGAAAATCTACCACACAGGTCGTGTTATACTGACGTGATAGAGGATTCAACAGAAACAGTCCCACATCAGCATATTGGTTGTGTACGGAAATGCCTCAACGGCCAATAAAGTCGCTCTTCTCTGTACAGTCATTGTATCAAACCTGCCCCATATTAGATAAAACGGTAGTGATTGTGGTCAATAACATTTCCACTTACGATTGGTCTTTGTAGTCTGTGGACATATCAGAATCAGAAATACTTTAATAATCCCAGGGGGAAATTATTTATATCCAAATTACTTTCTATATCTAACTGGGTCTGGGTAGTGTGTCATTCTTTTTCAGTGAGTCTCAGGTCTGTGTGTTGATATATGTAGTAGAGGTCCAGATTTTTGGACTTGTGAAGACCTCTACAGGAACAAAGAACCTCTCATCCTGATTGTTGCTGCCAAACAGAAATTTGTTTGTTTATTCAAGTCGATCCCCAGTGAAAGACTTTAATTATTTCACCTATAATGAGTCCAAAACTCTTATCACTTTTTCTCCAAACATTTCACAGAACTGAACGTACTATAACCCTGTTATAGCTTTATCATCCAACATTTCAATCTCACCAACATGCAAAAAACAAGTGAACAGCAGCAGAGTGATGTTGGGAAATGTCCTGGGAAGAAGTTCTGAACACTTTGTTCATTTATTTTCCCAAAGTCAGTGTATATTGAACACAAAACAAAAAAAAATACTATATATATATTTGCTGATTTGATAATAAATGACCAGAACATGCGTAACTGCATATGAAATAACCGCAGTGATTTCAGGAATCTGTTTGGTTGTTGTCTTGATGTTCAGTCAGATTGGATCTGTGACCGGCCTGTTCCCTCTCACTTCCTTCAACAACGTTCAAACAAATGTTAATCTTGATTATTTGCACTCTTGCTTGGTAGCAGCAACCTTTTAAAAACTTCACGTTCATTGCATCTGTGTGGTCTCAGTGGTCCAAAAGAAAACGGCCCAGATCTTGTCACTGTCTCACGGTTTACGATAGCTGCTTCATATCGTACATTGGCACCTCAGATTCCTCCGGCTTGCCCTCATCGTCAGCCGCCTTGGCGGCGTCAGGACTGCCCTTTCGGCCTTTGGGCGGAGGGACGGGAACGGCGCCCTCTGTGCCACCCTCAGCTCCTTCCTGGCCCTCTGCCACAGTCCTCTCCTTCTTCAGATTGAGCTTTGCTGGGACGCTCTTGGTGATGGTCTCCTTCAGCCTCTCACCCGACTGCTTCAGCCTCTCACCAGACTGGCGGATCTTCTCGCGCCTCTCAGCTGTCACGATGCGCTCACCAAACTTGTTGACCTTGGTGCCCAGGTTCTCACGGGTCTTGCTCATGTTCTCCTTGGAGAAGGTGGCTTTGAAGCTCTCAATGCGTGTCAGCCCGGTCTTTTTCATGCGGCCGGCTGACGAGGAGTCTGCCTCCTCCACCACCATGTACTCCTCGTCCGACTCTGGGGGAAGCTCAAACTTGTCCGGTTCCACCTCGGCTCTGGCGCCGCTGCTGCTGCTAGGTTCTGCTGGTTCGTTGCCTGGTGTGACAGCCTTCACCTCCTGGTCACCCTGAGGGAGGAGAACACAGAGCAGAGTGTGAACCATCATGATTAAATGACGGACAACTCAGACTTTGTGCTGGGAAAAAACATGCCGTGCATTAGACATAAAAAACTGTATTTGTTTTTCTTCTAATTCAGATGGACAAAGTGTAATAGTTGATGTCAGGTTTAAATCTGTCTCTGGTTTAAGTGTGTCATGTAGACTTTAGCTGTTAGTGTGCAGGCCTGATCCTGCCTCCATAAATAAACTAGCACCTGTTTCTGCAGCTCAGTGCTCGGCTGCAGGAAGCTAAACATATCAACGAGCAGCAGCGTACTGAGCAAAGCCGGATCACTTTCAGCTTCAGGCCACGTCATGGCATGCATCCGTCTGCAACTCGAAGCTCAAGTTACACTTAACATGAAATGGAGCAAAAATGTTAAGGCCTAAGCTGCAAACTGACACAGATCCTTGCAGATGTAATTCACTTTGGGAAGGTTGAACCTCATTTACAAACTCCTGATTCATGCTCAGTTCCACAAGTAAACACAAAGTTACCTAAAAACTAGTAGAAGCCAAGTAAAAGGTAAAGAAAAAGTCATTTGACAAACAGCCACATGGTGCAGCATATTTGGCATTTCTGGTCCTAAAGCTATACACCAAAATCTGTTAGTGTACATTTTAGGTGTGAGTCAAATTAGTGACATTCAGTTTAAATCATTGTCAATGATGTTCAGCAGTTTGAAGAGGCAGTTTTCTACATTTTGATCAGTAGTGAAATGTGACCTGGATGTACTAAGCTGACTCTGCAAGGCATAAATTTACTGGGAACTGTCTTCAGCCTCCTCAAGAACACCCTGAAGGCCCCCAGACGCCAGCTTGGACAACACCTGAGCTGGTAAGCAAGGGACAAAGTAAGAAAATGTAGAAAGATTGATCACCAGGAATTTGATTTGAAGTCAGATCAGTCCTGGAAGATCAAACTCATTAAGTTTATTGAACCTTCATGCATGTTAGCAAACTGGTCCGTAGCATGCTAATAGGATCGTCAGGATCTTTGATTACATGCATCATAGGCACTATATGACACCTGATAGAGAGGCTGACATTTCCAAGGCTTTGACTGAACATAACATTCATAACTGAGAAACACAGCAGGAGCATGTAGCAGAGCCTGCTAACAATCTAAAATGAAAGCTCACTAATTAACATGTCTGTATCTCGTTTCTTTAATACATAGCCTACACAGAAATGTGAAGAACGTAATATGTGGTTTTGGGGGTGTTGTGTGTTGGAATGGTGATTGTGTGCAGCTTCTTGAAGTCTGAAGAGAGAGGTCGCCAGGTTTGGCACCCTTGGACCTGGGCAGAGACCGAAGCCTGTGTTCACTGAGTGTCTGTCTAGTCAGGAAACTGGCTGAAAATTTGCACAGCAGCACTGGGTGGATGAATAAACCATTGTTCAACAAGAAATGTGTCCATCACGTGACTCAGGAGTCCCTTTAGTTGTTGCTTCCAGTCTGTATGCTATGCTAGGCTAACTATGTCCTGATTCCAGGCCTGTACTTAAACCACAAATATGAGATCTTCTCATCTCACTAGCGGTGATGGCAAGTTTGGGTCCTTTGCTGCTTCAAAAGTATTCAAGAGTGCTGCGGATACATTTCTGTCACATGTTACCCAAGTACTTAAGTTCAATACCTGGATGAATTTATTTATTTAAGTTCATCCACTACTTGAGTTTTGCTGTTGATTTCAGCGTATTAAACTACAAAGTTCTCGGATAGACTGAGCAGCAAGACCGAATAGCAGCTCGTAGACAGAATCCAACCTAATGAGGCAATGGAAAGGAAAGGAAGATTTCAGCTTGAAGGCCTTTCTGCTCTGCTAAACTGGGAGGGCAGGAAGGTCAAAGGTCATGAGCGCATCTGATCCCATGACACTGCAGTTATGTGCTAAACCTCCACAGCTTCTGCTCTGGCTGACAGGATTTCCTCCGTCAATCTGACTAAAATTTGTCAGAACAAGTCAAACAGTGAGCACAGCCTGTTAGCAGCTAACGAAATGATTTATAACCCTCGTACAGCAGCTTCGTTAGCTAATCCAGAGAGAGAGGAAGGGTGAGAGAGCAGACCACTATATTAGGAGATGGTGGCGGTTCAGACTCAGAATAACCTGGTCTGTCAGCTCTCAGCTGGCACAGTCACTTACAGTACAGAAACCACATAGCAGCTCTCCTAACTGAGCACACACTCTTAACATACGCCGATCAGCAATAACATTACGGCCACTGAATAACACTGATTATCTGGTTATCAGGGCTCCTGTCAGTGGGGGGATATATCAGGCAGCAAGTGAACGATTGTGTCCCGCCTCAGGTGTAAAGCAGGAAGATGTGGCGAGCTGAATCTGAGGCGACTTTGACAAGTCCACATTGAGCATCTCCAAACTGCAAGCTCTGTGTTGGCAGGTCCGCGTCTGGCAGGAGGTCAGCTACCTATCGAAAAAAAAGAACAGAACCGGAGACAGGTCCATGGGGCCAGCTCATTGATGCACGTGGGGAGTGAAGGCTGGCACTTGTGGTCCGATCCAACAGACGAGCTACTGTAGCTCAAACTGCTGAAACAGTTAATGCTGGTTCTGATAGAAAGGGGTCAGAACACACAGTGCAGAGCACTCTGTTGGTCTGGGACTGCAGAACATTATAAGCACCAGGGTGCCCAGGTGGTCACCAGAGAGACATGGGAACATTTTTCGTGAATATTTCCTCTCACGACCCAAGAAGCGTCTCTTCATTTAGTTTCAGATTCATAGTAGCACATTAGAATAACAATGGTAATTTGGTGAGTGCTTGTGTAGGTTTGTACATGTGAGAGAGCTCCATCAGACCTTTGATAATTAATTATTAAGGTGTCATCACTGTAAAAATCAAACATTCAGTTTTGCATCCATATTGGATTATTCTGCCACTTTACATCCAGTGCTTACTTTCAGTGCCAATGCAGGGATTTGTGTGTTCTTTATAGCGTATAGAGAGGAAAGTAAAGGAAGGATGTGGAGGTCGGCGTGGTCTGAATTACATGCAGGAGAAGAGGGTTTATATGAAGACCAGCAATTGACCCTTCCTAAGTACCGCCCTTTTTGGGACCTCTGTCAACTTTCTCCTTTCATGGATAATCTACATCAATTGTTAGCTAGCTAATTAGCTAGGGTCGTTTTGCTGACATTAGCTATCAGATATAACTAGCTCTTAAGACTGTACATTTTTGATTTGAAAATTAGTTTAAACGTGGTTAATTTTCGAAGTGTAAATTCAAAACTGACAGTCTAGTGCAACAGACTGTTGCTTAGTTTGCCTTGTGATCCAGCAGAGGGCGCTCCACTTTCAGCTTGATCTTATTGACCTGTCAGTATTTAGTAAACTAATCTAGTAATGTTATGTTGTTTACGTCCTGAGCAGACGATTGCGACACCAAAGCATCAGAGAAGCAGTGTGCTTCTGTATAAAGCCTAACCCTACATTGACAACAAATTTGCAGCCTAATTTGCTAACGTTAGCTTGTCATTTGAGTGAGGCAGTGGAGTAAAGGCACCGAAGACGAGGATAGCAACATCAAGTGTACAACCTAGTCTTACTGCTACTATTTGGCACACTCAGCTTTGCCTAGCACATAGCATAGCTACATACAGAAAAGCAGAAAGTTGATGAACTGTTATTGGTGCAAAAAGGGGCGGGACTTAGGAAGGGTCAATTAAGATTTACCTTTTAATTAACCGCAACAATGTGTACAGAATTTTCGGTTTATCCGATAATGGAACGCACGCAATGCAGACACAAGGGACCATCTCTACCTTCCATCCCACATGACTTGAACAGCACACTAGGGTGCACCGACATCCAGCAGCTGCAGCCAGCCAATCGCAGGGTCTTTCTGAGGTTTGATCAACATGTGACCTCACTGACCGCACTGCAACCTGACACTGTACATTAGAGTCTGGATTACAGTAACCGAACCACACCCACAGAGCTATTCCTGCATTTAGTCCCAGTCAACAAGCTACTTAGTAGGTAACATGCTAAATTGCATGTTATATTGCAACTCCTGTTGTTAATTTTCTGATATTTGGAAGTTAGCATGCTAATATGATATTTAGTGCCACACTTAACATACAATTCATTGCTTTCTAAAAAATAGTTCTTGTCTGTGCTCTAAATTAACAGCCATATGTGATGATGTCTAACTTGGTGAGAACTCTGACATTAAATCCTTTATTTCTGCTTTTGATGAAGGGGCACAAATTGTCATTTTTAGAGCATCGGTGTCTCATGTTGGCAAATGTCAGCAAAGTTCATTGGGATCAGATTGCGTGGCTGAAGCCAACCATTATGCAAGAAGTAATTCCTGACCCAACTCAAGAATGAAAGTATAGCAGCCAAATAATCATTCGAAAAGTGAACTATTTTCAAGTGAAAGCCCGCTCTATGGGCTCTAGATCTGTGGTGTAACCTTTCAGTATGCAGAGGTTTATCCACGGCTAAAATAACAAGATCACCATTGCGCTGGCAGCTGCTAACTGTGAAGGCCAAAGAAGTAAAACGAAGCCCAGTGTGTGTGCTTGTTGCTATTTCAACCCCTAAAACGAACTGATGCAGTCACTTCATTCTAGGATAAATAATGTAAAGATACAGCAGATTCTAAAATCAATGGTGCCTGTATCTAATGTCTGGAAACAGACACAAAGCACCATTTGGCAACATCATTCTGAAAAGTTATTCATGTTTTTTGGACAGATGAAACTGATTTACCATATTCATTTATTTGGTTTTTTAAGACCTTTGGAGCCATCATGCAATGAAATCCCATTTAGTTATTCAAATTGAGAAATCTGCTGACAAAGGTCTGTGCCTTTCAGAAAAATCTGCTTGAATATTAAAAGTTCTCCTGCTCTGCGAAAACTGGACGTAGGCTGGCAGCTATTTTAGACCTGGTCCAGCTCTATAAAGCAGGTACACTTATTATCCGGCACACACCAACTGGCCCTTTTTGTTCCACAGTTCAGTTTGTCTACTGTTAAAAGTGACTACCGTGAACTGATAATTATAATTCAAGTTATGATGGTGATGAAGTCATATAGCAAACCAGATGCCAAGCCTGGTGCCACCACTACAGGCCTCAGACCATTTCCTTGGGCTTGATCCATAGTAATGATGACATATAGAACCCGAAAACACAGGTACTTCATGTTAAAGCTCTTCACAGGTCCACTCGGTTCTTCTGAGACCCATCAATGGCATTGAGTTGGGTTGGGTCCAAATCATATTCAGTTTAATCTGGTCAGATAGAAGAGAGTCTCTCTTTGTGTCTGTTCAGTGCTTTTTAGATCTATCTGGGTTGATTTTCCACTGAATCAGTTTCACATTGGTTCAAAAAGCATTACCTTCTTTGAATTCTCACTAGAAAGCGCATTAGAAGTACGCTTTTCAGTTCATTTAGTCATGTAGCTGTAGGTTAGCCTGATGCTCTAAACCATTTCTAGTAGAGAATCAACACTCCACTGCCCTGATACTAGAAGAATTAATTTAGCAACCAAGGCAGTTGTTCCTATTCTACTGGTCCCAATGATCATCAAACAGATTTGTCTTTGAAGCCAAAGAACTAAACATCTGTGAGTCCTACCTGATAAATGACCACCCTGAACTTGTTCTTGGCCAGGAGGTCTCCCTGGGTGGCCTCCACCTTCTTCACCCTGATGTTCTGGTTCTCCACACGCACTCTGACGTCCTTGATGTGGCGGCTGACCTTGCGCGTCTTCTCCAGCAGACGGTCGACGGTGGAACTGGTGTTGGCATGGGTGTTAGTCAGCTTGACAACGTCGGCCTGGATGGTCTTTACCGTGTTCTCCAGCTCCACCTGACGCTCCTCCATTCGCTGCTGCGTGGTCTGGACGCTGTCCATGAGGCCCGCCACGCGCTCCAGCAACGCCATGATGCTTCCGGCATCATCTCCGCCTCCCGTTTTGTCTGTCATACTTGCTTAACGGTTCTCTTTTTCACCCGCTCCTGACTTATCTTCTAGTTGCTTGGTTGATTGACTGTTACCTAGTACCCAGTGATCCAAATGTAAAAGAGAAGAAGGGGTGAGGAAGAGTAGGAAGGACGAAAAGGAGCTCCGGAAAAATCTGTTGCACTTAGACTTTGAAAAGAAAAGGGGAAATCAAAGCCACAGAGGAAAGAAGAATAGAGGTTAAGGCAACGGAGGTTCCAAGGAAAGAGAGGGAGTTCAAGGGAAGAATGAATAGAAACCTCCTCTGGAAGGAGAAGGGGAAAAGGGAGGAGGACTACCGGATCACCCCTCTACAACTGGAAGTTGACCCTGAAACTGTTCAGACCCACTGATAGACTCCACCCTGCTGGGAGAGGGAGGGAGGGAAGGAGGGAAGGATGGCAGGAGTTAAGAGGAGGGAGGGATGGAAGGGGGAATGGTGTGGCTAAAAAGAGAGCGAAGGTAAAATGCAGAGGGACAGTATTAGAGTTTTAACAATGTTTAATCAATGTTCAATGATAAAGTGGTAGATTTTAAAGCCAGTGACCAGACTGTAAAATTAAATCTACTCAAGTGGAGATCTTATGGACATCCCATGTTTTATCTCTTTAGTCTAATTTGGCATTAAGAAGTCATGTCACTCATGGACTTCTGAAGGCCCTGAGAACTCCCATCAATCAGAGAATTTAAAAATGAAAACCGATATTAAAGGAATGTCTGTGTTAATGAGTGAGATGGATAAAGAGTGACATGGATCCTGGCCTCTGTCTGTGTTCTCTGTTGCTAAAAATACAGTGAGGGTAAAGTGACTCCCTGCACCTCTTTGGGAGATGATTGCATTAAAAGGAATGGAAACCCCCTCCCATCTATTCCTCCATCACCCATCTATCAACTGTCACCTTTTCACTTGTTCTGTCTTAATCCCTCCCTCCAGGTTTAGACTTTTTAAACCTGCATTCTATGTAATGGCCAGTAGGGGGCAGCTGTATTGGCTGCAGTATAAACCGATATCATGCAGTCTTATGAAGAAATGAGCCGACTTCTCAGTTGATTTATTATCTCAGTAAAGAGTTTCCGGATGAGTTTGGTCTCAGGCTCTAGTTTCAGTCTTCTTCCATACAGCATGATGTTCATTTAGTAACTGATGGTCCCATTTACAGTAAAATAGGATGCACCAAACTCAGATCAAACTGTCAGACAGTGCTGATCAGATATGGATCCAGATTCTGTTGTTGACTATTTCTTTCCTCAAATCTGTTCACAAACATTTTTAGCTGTTTATCTGGAAGCACCAGATCCTGTGTGAGCAGGAGAGCTGCCATTGTTTTCTGATACAGACGAGTTGAAACTGAACAATGTGTAGGGAGGTAATGAACTCACAATAGGATATGTGAGATATATTTTAACTGAAAAAGATTTCTTTATTTTTCAGACAAAAATCTTTGTAATATTTTGATTTCGTTTTCAAATCAAAATTACAGAATCTTTATTTCTGACGTAGGGTAAAAACTACATATTTCATTTTCTTGATGTTTTTGTGCCTTGATATCACACAGACATGGTAACGGCCATGAAACCGACATCGCAGCCTTTGGTACTCCGAAAACTAATGAGTGGAGCATTCGCACCTTCGCTTTTGCATCCATAAGCAACTTCCTGTCATAGTTGTATCTTTTGTTGCTTGAGTGCCTTTTGAAAGTTCAGAAAACTTCCAAAACCCTGGAAAGCAGCCAGCTGATGATGAAAAACCTACAGAAGAAAGAGGGTGTTAGGAATGAGATGGGGTGAGAAAGGAGGGATGGAATCAGATGGAAAAATGAGGGGACTCCCCGCCGTCTAAAAACCCTCCACCAGCTGCTGCCTATAATTATCCTGCCGTCACTGCTATATTTAACTTCCTCCCTGAACAAGACATGGATGCTTCAACAGCCACAGGGAGCGCTTGCTTTTCACTCCTCCCTCACTCACGGTGGGTGGAGTCTCCATAATGTTAATGTTCAATATTATATATAATATAATGCAACAGTTCAATGGATCTTATTAGATTAGAGGGGGACAGTTGGTGTTATTTTGTATGTAAAGCTAAGCAAACCCTGTCAGTTCCTAAAGCCAGAAGATCTTAATTTAGTTAATCAGGAACTAATTTGGACAGAGATGACTGTGATTGGCTGAAACACCTGTCAATCAACCCAAGCTTAAATCTCTAAATGAAAAACATTTCCATGTTATGCTTTATATCAGAAAAATAATAAACTGAGGGCTGAATGTGTATAAATATGTTTCAGTCGGAGATCCCTTGGAGCAGAATCTAGTGGGCATTTGAGGTACTGCAGCTTAAGGCTCTTTCAACACAGCCGCAAGCCCCTCCCCAGGTGCTGCATACCTGCCGTCAGGTGTCTGAGGTAGGCTATATTTGTACTGTACAGCTCCTCGCTGTCAGTATCATTCATTTATATTTAGGTTGGGAATTACTAATCTAGAGCGTATGGAGCATACAAAATGCTTCTATACTGCCATGTTGATAATATTCAACAATAGTAAACCCTTTTAGCACTGTCTCAAACCCTTCTGGACAATAAAACGACACAGTTCCACAAATATGATATCAACACATTTTGTATTGCAATAGTACATCATATATGTAATTTTGATTATGTGGTTTCACAGCTAGGCTTTGTACTTTTATTCATCAGGAGAGAAAATTAACCCTGTATAGTTACACTGTTCCATTCAGCTTTAATTCATTTAGATTCCAGGCCCAGGCCCCCCCTCTGGACTCGCCCCTGATGTATGAGAGAAAAAGGAAGTGCATAAACAGATTAAAGCGATGACACAGTGGTTTCGAACATCATAATTTAATCCTAGTTCCACTACAGTATAGTCTAAACAACAACTTCACTGGTTCATGCAACATCTACAGTAAAATCAGGCTGGATTCCTGCAGAGAGACTGAGTGAGTCAAATAAATCTGATCTCGGTACAGCCTTACTTCAGGGAACCTCCCAGCTTATTGAGTCTACTCCTCCTACCACAATAAAACGACCAACACGGACACGTCGTACCATCGTACCACCAATTAGATAAAAAAAGCAGAGACTCGACCAAAAAACAAAGCGATTTAAATTATCATCAGCTTGTCAGAACACACAAAAAAACATTGGAGTCCATTTCCGGAATGGCGTCATCTGAAAATTAAGCAATAAAAACAACCTGTACATGTCAGCCTGTACCTTCTCTTTTTTTAAGCAGTAGAAAAAACAGCATTTTGGTTTTTAGGTGCGTCTCATCGTAACAAATACAAAAACAGCTCAAATAAAGTTCATCTGAGTTACATGAAGGATTATTTTTGACCCTGTGAGACACAGCAAAACAGAAAAATAACCCATCAGCTGTGAGTCTGCAACAATACCCTAGAGGGCTTCAGTGGTCCCTGATAATCCTGTAGTCCTGGTACAGAGCGCCCCCTGGAGTATTAATGCCTTCATAACACCTTTAACTGGTCCCCACACTGAAGACAATGTGGACACAGTGCATGGTAAAAAGTCAACACAGAAATATCAACGAATGAATCCCTAACTGTGATACTCAGGGTTCCCACTCTATCCTTGTCCTGGAGGTTTTCTAAGAATCCATGACAGCCTGCTCACAGACAGATAACCCACCGGGAGGTCTAGTACTGACTCATTTAACTGCAGTTTTATTCTTTTTTTTACTGATGGGGGTTCATTACAGGATGGGGGTCAGCGTTCATGCTTGCTTTTGTGGCAGTACCAGTTCAAATCAAGTAGGATTTATTTTATTTTACAGAAATGTAATCTTCGAGAAAGTGAAAGCCCTGTGCGCGTGGAATTAACATCGCTGGGGTAACCACTACCACAAATCTAATCGTTAACTGATTAATGGGTCGATTATCTGGCGTTTGGAGATAATCAGCATTGACTGATTTCTGCACTCACACAAGGCCGATTTACAAAAAAAGCTCTCTACAGCATAACCCAATGTATTTTTGTTTTTTATAGTTATATTAGGTTTGTAGTGTGCATGGAATAATGAACTTATACACGACTTTCCTCTGACAGGCCCACATTAGTCGACCACTTGCTGACGGGCTGTGTGTGTAAAAAGGCTGTTTTTCGTTGCCCCCGTCGTTGAATTGTGTGTGTAGATAATAACCATCGGTAGAATCTGAACTGAGCTTGCGGCTCCAAAAGATGGCAGCAGGTCCGCTCCGCTTTGTGTCTGGTAAATCCACTTCCCAGTGTCACTGCGCAGATTATCTTTCCAAACCCAGGTGTACGTCTGCGATCTGAGTGAGGGGCTAAAATACTATTAAAGACTTTCAGGATATTTGGTCATTATAATCCACTTCCAGGACATGTGGGAACCCTGAATATTGAATCACTACTAAATATTAATGCTGAAATTTATAACATGTTGTACCTTTAAAATCCACTAATCCCAATCTACCAGAGAGATTTCTTCCTCTCGTACGTATGTTTATCCTCTGTAGTCCGGATGCTAAACTTTTTAGCAGCTACATTTGTTTTTTTATGGAGAAATCAAACGATAATCAATTTAATTATGTGAATCCTAAAAAAATACTAAAAACTAAATGTTCAGTCAAATCCAGCCGTATTTAAATTTCAACTTTAAGTATTCAGCAGTGATCTTGATTTATATTCCACACAAACAGGGTGAAACAATCATTAATATTCCTTTAAAATAAAAGAAGCACAAAAACGGCATCACTCTGCGTCCCACAGGGTTAAAATGAACGGAGACAATCTGTTATTCCAGTTTGTATGAGGACGGTCCAAAGTGAAGATACAATCAGATAAATAATGTTTCCTGCCGGAGGATCCACAGTGTTTCAGAGTCTGAGAGGACGGCAGCATCATCATCTGCAGACAGTGCGGAGACAAAACTGTCCAGACGGAAAAAAACAAACATGGAGGAAAATCTGAAAAATAAGGCCCCTTAAGAAATTCAAAAAGTATTTTAAAAAAAGGGAAAACAAAAGAGGCACCAAAAAGTCGAGATATCAAAACTGCAGTCTGTCTGTGTGGTACGAAAAATTTAGACTTTTCATAAAAACATTAGAGAGGGAAAAAGAGCAGCTACATCATCCTGGAGGACGTTCCTGACGGGAAGTGACCGAGGTGCTGCTTCTGTCTCCGGCCACGCTTCGTCTTGTTGCACCTCCTGCAGGACACGACAGGAAGGACACAGCGGTTAATAACAGCATCCAAGACTCACCTCAAGGTCTGCTGAGTGTTTAAAGAGTTACTCCACACTTAATATTCCCAGTATTACCAAAGTCATTCAAATCTGTCTCATCTCATCTTTCATGTACGGAAGGACTTCAGGCTGCTGGACTGACTGTTTGTAGTATTAGCAGTATTAATAGTATTAGTATTAGTAGTACACGCAGTAGCGCTGGGAGTACCTGGTGAAGCACATGACCACGGCTACAATGACGGCGATCTGGACGGCTCCGATGATGGCGGCGATGAGGACG